TATAAAAAAGTAGGTCCCCATTTCCGTCTGTCTGTTGGACTGATTTTTACGAAATTTTCGATGGATTTTAAAAACATCGTGTAAATAGTAAAACGCAAACCAATCTTAAAGAAATACGCAGGCGCGGATACAGGATTTCGTTTAGTGGGGCAATTTTTGTGGTATTTTACCTATCTCCCAGAAATGCGTTCTAAACAAAAAAATTTATAAAATTTTAACTAGTATACTCTTTTTCACATAACATGGGTGATATTTGGTTGTTTTCGTTACACGTATAGTGTACGAACCTCGATAATCCGAAATAATTGGGAAAAAGGTGTGTTCGGATTAACGATTTGTTCGGATCAGCGATTTTCCCAAAAATTTGAAAGGAAATTGAATAACAACTTCACACACAGTTGAAAACAAACTTCAAGAAATAAACCTTAATTTTATTAAACAAAATTAAAGAATTCTTAAGAAACAATGGATAATAGATACATTCTAAAAAAATATTACTCCGTGACCATAAACACGCTGTCTTTTTGGAATCAACACGCCGGGATCTATACCCTGAATTTTTTCAGAATTTTTGGACGAATTTTTCAAAAATGTAATTTTCCATTATGTATTCTCGACGATTTTCGAAATTTAAATAAATACATTTTCTTGTAGATTTTGGACCTCAGAATTAACTTCTGGCTTCATTTCTTCGATAAATTAAACCTTTTTTCCAGATTCGTCCAGTTGAAATACTTATGGCAATTTTTAAAAATTTCGAAAAATTCGAATTTCACACCGAATTTTCGAAAATATTGCTCGGTTACCATTAACATGCTATATTTTTGGAATCAGCACGTCGGGATATACATATCCCTGAATTTTTTCAGAATTTTTAGGAAATTTTTTCAAAAATGAAATGTTCCTCATGCAAATTTCGACCCATTTTCGACGACTTTCGAAATTTAACTACCTAAATACCTTTTCTTGTAGATTTCGGGCCTCATTTCTTCGATAACTTCAACTTTTTTTCCAGAATTAGATTAATTAATTCAGTGCATTGAAATATGGCAATGTTTAAAAATTTCAAAATACTCCATACAACATATGTAGAAAGATCTTGCGTCATTTTTGCAAGTAGGTGCGTGTTTCCAAGTTCAGTTCAGATTGTAGAGTTTTTGTTCGGATTAAAGAAGCATCGACTTCAAATAGCCTGTGTTCGGATTACTGGATGTTCGGATAATCGTGAATTCGAATTATAGAGGTTGTAGGTACTGTATTTACAAAATGAAATGCGATTTCAAAATTTTGAAATTGGTCAAAATAAAGTACCTCGGTCGTGTGTCAGGGATCCGCGCCTGGAAATACGTCATCCTAATTTTTTCCCAAGGAAATTCTATTCAAAATGAACAAAATAGTGTGTGTTTGTATTAGCTACGTATTAATCAACTCGATTTTCAAACTTGGCTTAATTAAAGAAAAAAAAAAATAAAACTGCAACAAAATTCGCCAATTTAACTTCGAAACTAGGAAATGAATTAGTTTAAAATGTTGCGTATATTTTCAGGTTTAAGCGAACCTAGTAAATCGATAATAGGAATTCATGTATTCATCCCGTACGAAAAACTGATGACGTCATCTCAAAATTTTAATGAATAAATCTAGTTTAAAATTTATAATGCGACATTTTGTTTTGTTTGTGGTTTCATAATTCATCACGTTTGTTCACAATCGTTTCAAAAATAGTGAAGAGAACAATTTGTTTTACTGTTTCAATAAAAAAACGACGTATTTATTTTTCCGATATATATATGTTCTGGATATCCAATATTGTTGCTATTAGTTACACGGAAAAATTAATGTCTGTCGTCATCATCATTTTTTAAGAGACCCAAATACATCTACATATTTATTTATTTCGACTCGTACATTCTCAACAGTTCAAAATTTTTAAAATTCGAAACGATGGATAATAATATATTATGTAACAAGTTTTATAAGCTCCTCTTTAGACACGGGTTTATTTAATCACAGGGAGCGAAGCAACGAGTGTTTAAAAAAAGAGTGCCTGGAGAAGTTTATAAATCTGTTACATACTATGCTTTTTCTACGACTTCAAATTAAAACTATAATTATCCAATTTTTGAAAGTACTCGAATAAAACTTTTGCATTCATCTTCGATAACACGTATTAAATAATGCACTTTATTTGAGCCATGCCCGGGTTTGAAATGACAAGTACTGACAAGAATAAATGTCACTATTTAAAATTAAGTCGATTTCAGATTTTTTTGACCCAAGTCATGAGCACGAAAACTGCCGAACTCACTCAAGACGACGGATTTTGTCAAAAATGTCCTCATATTTCGAAATTGCCTATAGGATAGACTATAATTGCTAGACATCATGAAAAGTCTATAAATATTAAAAAAATAAATATAAGGCATTTTGCACGTCTCTGTTCATCTTTGTGGTAAATTTTCTGCAGTCATTATTTTGCAAAAAAAGTCGACGAATGAGACGGTTGTTTGAGATTTAATGGGAATTTGTTCGGGGTTTCCGGAATCGAATTATAGTTCGTTAAATGTATAGATTTTAAATTTAATGCTCTTTTAGGTTAGACGGAACTCGAGAATCGGTCTATTTCTGGAAAATAATGGCACTATCGATTGCCCTGGCTAATCGAATTAAGTCTGCGGCAAATCTAGAATTGTGTTAAGTGCTGCTTTAATTATTTAATGTAATGTATCGTGCGGTGGAAGCTAAAAGCTCGTCAGGATCGGACGTCTCGTGAACGGTTCAGAGAAACTCCGTCGAATAAATCATTTCAGTGGGAAACCTCCACAAAACGAGAATAATTTGGCAGCACCGCATGAAATTATTCAAAAAGTTTCTCTTTGAGATAATAAACCGTTTAAACGGGCAAGTTTCTGTTAAGTGCCATCATTTTCGAGCCAATAAACACGAACGTTTACGATCCGCATTTAATTAGGCGTATAATACCAGATAAATAACGAAATTATTAATAAAATTAACGCTTGCCTTTAACCTCACGCTCTAATAAAAACCTATAATACGATTGCAGTTCCGTTGTCCTTTGGCCCGAGGCCCAAGTGTGGGTTGCTGGACCCATCTTCCCAGAGACTCGTCTTTCCAAATACGGCTCAGCAGTTCAGCGCCACAACTCTCACATATTGCAACAACATTAAATAATATTTATTGCCCATGTAAAAAATAAAATGACATACCTGGTGCTCCGCTCTGTAGTAAAAAGCGGATTTAATCACTTCAGAAACGATGGAACAAGGGCGCATTTACGCGATCATAGAATGTGTATGTCTTCGTGGTGGCTTCAAACGATGCTCTTCGACGTCGAGACCTTTTAATGGATGTTTATTTCTTACCAGATTAAAATCTTATCTAAGGTGACAGTAATACTATAGCATGGAGGCCAAGTCTTTAGTTGGGATTTGAGTTTGTTAAAATTATTTACTTTTAAGGATAACCAATTATAAGTGTTGCTACACAGTCGTGTGGAATTTTATTGCTGGAAAAATAGCGTCGACTTGTAAGCTGAATTGTTGGAATTTCCCGGTGTATATCTCAGCTAGTGTCAATCGTTTGGAATGCTGATTTTTGATTGTCGAATGACGGCGATATCTAGAACGCATATTGTGAAATAAAGTTTTAAAACTGAATTTCATTTCGTGACGCATACATTGTGAATTTTGAGTGCATCTTAGAACGAGAGTGAGATTCGTACTGAGAAAATCTTGTGCGAATTAGTGGTACCAAATCAAGTTTAATAATTTTAGAACGTTTATCGGAAAGAGTTTTGACAATTTTTCACTATTTTTGAGTCATTTATATATAATACTTTTGTTAATGTCATTTCATTTGTTAATCATTTTTAAAATACAGCTGCTTCGAAATTCTACTGAAGTGTCAATCCTTGTGGATACTTTTTAATTCGAACAAATGCAGGCTACCTGAAAAGCTCTGCAATAAAAACTAAGTATAATGCCAAACATGAAAGATGTTCACTCCGAAAATTATGTTCCATTCCGGTTCCATGGTTGTCGCGAGTACATTTCGATTTCATTTGACCCAATTAAAACATGTTTTTGAAATGCCCATAACACTATTCCCGTTCGTTTAATTGTTGTTTACATGTTCCGAAGTTGCCGTTTCATCATCAGCCATCAGTTGGTAATATGAAACCCATGTTTAAAAACGGCGGTGTGGTCTCATCTGTACCTTGCTGCTGTTTACTAAACAGTCTGAAGAGCACTGTTTACACACCCTGTCCTGATGTACTCCCACTTACATTATTATAACAGCAGCAGCAGCATCCTCCGCCGCAGTAATACCCAACATTGTCTGCCCTAAATGAAAAAGAATAGTAATATTAATTTTAACTCGTTAACTTTTGGCAGACTCATAAATTAATTTTACAATACCCATGGATGATTCATTCCTGAAATATCAGAAACTTACCATATGGGTGTGTTTTGCAATAAGATTTGTACGAAGTTGTCATTTGACGGAAGGTATTGTATCTCGGGTATCTTGTTCCATTCGTTGTTCTCTATGATGTCTTTTGGTCGTAGTGGCAGAATTTCAAGAGAAAACGAGCGACATGCCAGTCTTAATAAGAAAGGAGTGAGAAACAATTCATTCGTTCTGTTCTGGGTGGTCCGCCATTATTTAGCCGATACTAAATTAAATGAGACCAAGTTAATACATCAATTTTCGTATATGAACGCTATAACTATTCTGTATTACATTGTACTTAATTATGATGCAACTCGTTTTGGCTAATGTTCGACCCGTTTTAATTGTTTCGCAACTTTTGTTTCTTTTTCTTCTGGGAAGAAATTTTGCAGCGATGCACTTCGACAGTTATTAGCCATGAACTCGTTCTTGGAAAATAGAACGTCTGTAGGTTCCAATTTTTCGCGAAAAGTAGTGCGTAATGATAGATTTCTGTTCTTGTAATGATTGAAGATTTTTTGTTTCAGGAACTCTGCAAAAGTCAACCAGAAAGTGAATGGTAGGTAATTTATGAAGTAAAAATGAAGTAGTTGCTGTAGTATAAAAGAATGAAAATTGCATAGCTTTCAAGTAATATATCAATTAACTTTTTGAAATTTTTTGAGTTAATATGAAAAATGAAAAGACTTATTATAGTGCATTGTCACAATAATATAGATGAAGGTTTGGCAACAGTAGTAGAAAGTACTATATTATATGAATATTTTTAATGTAATATCATTTCTTGAAATAGAAATTGAATCTTCAGAAAAATGTACGGTACTAAAAACTTTCTAAAAAGTTTCTAGATTGTGCTTTTTTTAAGTTTCTTCTGTTTCAAATACTGAGATTAAAGAAGAAATGAATGAAAGTTAAATCATTATTTTACATTTTTATGACATTTTGAATATCAACAAGGTTTGGTATGAAGCGTTAGAAATTTAAGAGAATATGAAGTATGTAAGTTAAAAAAAAACATGTTTTATTTAATGCAGATTTAAAATGTAGATAAAATGCTCCAAAATATTTTGGAAATAAATAATGGTCATTATGACATTTCTGCAAAATGTTTGTTTAGTTTGGGAAGAACTTTTGAAATATACATTGATAAAAATCACTTAACAACACCATGATGAGAAAACTACATATTTTGCAAGCAACATTGTTAGACTGATTTATTAACGTAGCATTAATGAATAGTATAATAAATTGTTTCAAGACAAAGCAGTAGAGTGTAACGTATAGCCGGTGCCTCGTTTTCAGAATTATCTTGTAACTTCAATCAGTAGTAGACCGAACAATGTTGATGTTCTGTGGCATAAATTTTGTTTGCTTTTCATAAGTTGCGTTAACTGTATTATTAGCTGAAAGATAGCTTAAATTCATGAATTCATGATATTGAAATGATATTTTTCCACGTAAAAAGTTACGTATCTTTAAACATACAGTTCACGTAATGAACAAAAAATATGAATAAAATAGGTAATCACACAAATTTTACGAAAAAAAAATAATGGATTCCCAGAAAACTGATGATAACGCTATCTCAAAATGTGCTTAACTAAATGTCGCTTTTAATAGAAACCAGAACTTAATTTCCTCTGCTCCACGCTTTTTTTAATTTAGCTTTACAAATACAATTTGTACTAGAAAAAAAAAAAAAGAAAAAAATTTCACTACCAGATTGTTTTAGTAGGGAGGGTGCAAATGAAACAGGGATTGTTCATCACAATTTATTTATTCATCCTCTCTAGCAAATGGTTAACACCGTCTGAAAAAATATTACCTTAAATAATTCTTCATGAAAAAACTTCGCAAAATACTAATAGTGTATTACTTGGACCTCTGCAAAATGTAGAATTTTGACGACAAGATATTTACAAAAAATATTTCTCGTTTTTCCCATTATCATCTCTGACGACCCATCTAAATTTTGTCAAATTCACGTTACTGTTAGTGTTACACTGTACTCATAAATATTTTTCCACGAATAGGGTCGCAACATTGTTACGAAATAAACCCATACGCCGCCTCCTGGAAGGGGAAGTCGCGAACGGCAATCCAGAAAGATCGCGATCGCGCAAATCTAGAAGGAAGTATGGGTTTTAAATAGAGGCCACCTTCGGAAACGATTATTATTGAGCTAGTGGAGTCAAGAGACGTTGCGCCGAAATTATTTTGTACATAATCGCTCTGTAATTAGTCGTGTAAATTGGAGTTTTTAAGAAATAAATTGTTGAGTTTAACCCTCGCTCTTGAAGTACAATCCAACAAATTCCCTTTCTTTGAAAAATTATAGAAAATTTGTGTTTTTTGATAACCTTTTATTGCAAAACCATAGGTGACACCTCGAACCCCCTGCGCCGTGGGGTGTAAATTCCAAGGAGGTGCCCTCCGCAGATATACAGTATGAAATGTATTCAAAGCAAATAATCAATGAAAAACAGTGTATTAATATCAGTGCACATTCTTAACTTCGATTGTTTATGTTCATACAACGATAGAATGTCACGTAGAAATTTGTTTAATTTGAATGAGTCAAAACAGAAGACTACAGTTATTATTAATTAAGCCACAGTGGAAAAAATGGTTTGAATATGATTATTGCTATTCTTTTTTGATCATAATTAAATAAAAACGTGAGTATTTTCACATTTTCTAGAAAATGTGGTTTTTAATTTGATAAAAAAATTGGTCGAACGGTATAAGTATAATCCGATAAAAAATTATAAAATTTGATTTTACGATTTTCGTTTTGTGATAACCGCTGTAAAGTAAAAAACAGAGGCATAAATAACACCCCTTGTCCATCAGTGCTAGGTAATAGCAATCTGAAGCTCAAGTGTTTATTTATGTTCGTCCAATGGACTCGACTTTTTACTTCTTTCGCCTACGCTCGGAAAGTAAAAAGTGCATCCAATACGGCATACATTATTGTGCTTGGATACCTAGTACTGCTTATCAATTTATTTCGCCTTTCTAAATTCATATAATTGTCTCAAGTGCGTGATTCAAATGACAGATTCGCACATATTGTCTGTATGTTAATCCCTATCATCCAAAACAGTCTAACTGATCATATAATGTGTTTATTGTTAGAGGTATCTATGATGATGACCATGCCAATATTTCTAGTCAGCTCATACTGTTTCCACTTTCTTGTGTTTTTCCTTCCCGGGCATAACCTAAAGAAGTATTGTAATAGGGCTCATCCGGCGAATGGCTGATTTCATGTTTTCTCGATGTGCCATGACCCCTCGAACAAGGATAAGTTTTCCGTTTCCGTCTGTCTGTCGTCTGTGTCGTTTTGAATTAGACAGACAGTCTCCGAAACTACCGGATCAATTATTGTCAAATTTTAAATTTATATAATTAGGATGAGTATCGTGCAGGTAGATGGTAAAACGACAAAATTTGTCTGATTATCCTCACCAACAATTTGATGATGTCAGTTTAACATATTGCCGAATAAATGTTATTGTTAGTATTACATTGCACCTACCTATTCAAATTGATATAGGTCTCCTTTCTAAAATGTTGATGACATCCTCCCAAAATTTTGTTATGGAAAAATTCACTTAAAATATACACAAAGCATGCTTCTTTACCTGTAGTTTAACAGTTTTCTGCCTAGGCAGAAAAAGTACTTTTTTTGACTGTTTAACTTTTCATTTCATACCAAAACACCGCGTCAACAATACTGAATTATTTATTCATATAAGTAGTAAACTCAAATCCATTAAGGTTGTAACCACTCCCCAGTGTAAATTTTAAAAAATTATTCAGTGTAAATCTGTCTTTTAGTAACCTGGTGACATATCTGGTGACCTGTCAATATAATGTCAGTTCATTCATGTATTCGCGACACATGATTACGTTCGACTTCACTGCAATTCTTGCACTCCTGCACAGGTTATTTCATAATTATCATTGTAACTTGTCGCAATATTGTAAAAATTGATAAACAATTATCAATAAAAACAGGATAACCTGAGTCTTCATGGTAATTATGATACAAGAGCAACGATAAATAGAAACGTGTTTTATCTTTCATCTGTAGAAAGAAGAATGCCACCTGCTGTAATTTAGACTTGCAGTCGATACGTTTACGAATTACGATAAAATGAACCCAAAAATATTGTGGTCACGAATGAAATCAAATATTGAGCTGGTAAAAAAACAAGGTGAATTGATTTATTTATTGTTGCTGCTTCATCAAAATTACTTTACAGATGGGGAATAACTGAGATATTCAGAATTTGTTTAAATTATTGTACATGAGTATACGTGATAATTATATGTGTGGCTAACTATGATATGATATGACTCGAAGGACCAGCTCTGAAATGATCAATCTCGCGAGCAACACCGAAATTGTCTATAATGGGGATCACCTTAATTAGTGATCACCTTAATTAGTCGCAATGGATGACCAATTTTTCATCAAAAAAATGGGACACCAACAAGTCTTTAATGTTATGTTTAATAACTCTAATATTTGGTACTACTTATTATTTACAAAATGTACAAGGAATTTGGTTGAAGGCGATAGGTCTGGCTATGCTCCTCCGTCCTGAGGATTTTAGTGGTAATAATAAACAAAATGTAACTTCACAAAATTCAGAGGCTAAAATAATAGGTATGTTGAAAATAATTTGACAGCTTATTTAAACTTACTGTTACAGGAGTGGTTAGAAACATTGGGAACACATAGACCAAATAACCAAAAAGCAATTATTTTTCTGTTGTTAACTTTCTTAAATCTGAATCCCACGGATTTTAATACTCGACGTAAAGTATTTAAACTTGCTGTATATTCCAGATGTTTTTTCGCAAAAATAAACAAATCCCGAATAGTAAAAAACTCTTTTTTTTTTTGTTTTTGTCAAATATACGGTAGGTTAGAACTTCTTTAAATTCCAAATTTGAATACCACTACGATTTTTGTTTTGGTTTCCACTTTGCTTCTTGTAAAGGTTCTCCAGATTGGTGTTGGGTTATAATTTTGTGGGCTTGACATCGGGAACACTATGGAAAGGATAGGAATTAATAAGTTTACAGGGAAAGTTTATGCAGTGTTTGAATTTAATGAGAGACATTTAGTTGTATTGTAATTGTATAACATACTTTAAGTTTCATGTTGTGAAAAGAAGTCTACACATATTAAAACCAAAAGGCAAAATATAAGCCCCGCCCACCCGCCCTGTCTCAATTGTGATGATTTTTTTATTCGTCGTGAGCCAGGGGGGTGGAGCTTAACTGCAAAATCCTTATTTCTCTACGAGAAATTAAAGATATGTTTTTGAGTATCGTGTTGTTCAAAGAATACTATGTATATTAAGAAAAATAAAGCCAAAGCTTAGGCCCCACCCGGACCCGTCCCGATCTCAATACTCAATGTGACAAATTTTTCATTCGTTGTCAGATCGAGGGGCGGGGCTTAATTGCAAGATCCATATTTGTCTAGAAGAATTTACTATTTTAATCATGTTTTAAGTTTCTTGTTCTGGAAAGACGACT